ATAATTACTATTATTATTATTATTATTATTATCATTAGAAAAGCTTATCCAAAGCATGTGTGTGCATATAATAAAATCATACAATGGTCAACAAGTCTTAATATCAAATAATTTGACCTTTTATGAATCTGTCACAACATGGTTAGTGTCGTGTGATGGCTCTCCCAAAAAACAATATTTACCTTGAAATATATGACCTCAAAAAAATACCTTTAAAAACCTTTTTTGAACATAATCGTTAAGAAATATACTCACATGTATTCAAGTTCAAGTATTCAAATACTGTATGAATTATCTAAGCAAATTAAAATTAAGTAATTCAAATCCTGAGAAGAAAAAACATTTATTGTAGATTTTTTTTTATTGTATTGTTAAGGTCATTTTTCATATTTTGAGGTAAATATTGTATTTTGCAAGTCGCACCACATGACATCTAGCAACTAACCATACTGTGAATAATTTTGCCCCTTAAGATTATTTTTAAAAACCTTTTTGAACAAAATCATTAAGATGCATACAATCACATGTATTCAAGTTGTAAAGAAAATAAGCTATTGATTTTTACTTGAAGATTACACCACGATATTTTCATCAAGCTGAAACTTTTCTTGAAAATTATATTAAGATTGTAAAAACTGACATGAGTGCAAAGAGAGTGAAAGATTTCAATGAAAACAGCATGTTTTTAATTGTCAGAATGCGTCTGCATACTCCAGGTCACACCGGTTAGTCATTCTAATTATAACTTCGTTAACAACCCCCAAAACTTCCATCTGACACTTGTTTTGTTCAGACGGACAGGTCAAAGTTCACTCCAACGAGCTCTGAAAATAGAAAGTCCTGCACATTTTTAACACCTCCATTCAAGCACTTCGGAGAGGCGTCAGATTTTTGCACCCCGACAGGACATTAGTCGCGAGGGCAGGGGAGGCTAGACAAGAACATATGGTCCCGTCGGCGGGGCGCAGAGGGTGTGCGCTCGTTCATCAATAAGAGCTTTCATTTCTCCCTTCCTCTCCTTCATAGCCAATTACGGGTTATCAGCGTTCCGATAAAAATAGAAGATAAAATGACGCTTCTAATGGATGAAGCACAAACTGTGGACCAGCTCTAACCCCCACACCCGAGTCCCGCCTGCCTTTCCTCATGTCTAATGACTGTTCATTACCGCACAGAACAAGATGAACATTTTCCAGTTCATTAAAGATACGTTCTATGTGTTTTTCCACTCTTTTTTCCACCCCTTTTCTTCCGACACTCTTTCACTCTATTGCTCACCCTCTCCCTCAAACTGACATAATCCTTGAGATTCGTTCTGGGGAGTCTTAATTACACGATAATGGATAACGGTTATTAAACGCGGCCGACAGTAATGAAGCGCTATTCATTTGCGGCGGAGCGGGGGGACACTGCCGGAGAGCGTGGGAGTAAAATAGCTCCGGCGTCGCAGATTAATAGGTGAAATTATCATTCAATTTCAGAAATCTCATACGCAATTCATAGGAACAAGGGGAGATTAAGGAATGAGCGCGGCGACAAAAGCAATGCATTTTAATAACGATCCCTATCAGAGCCGCTGACAATTGGGTACAGTAATCGGCTTAATGTGCAATGGCTATTTAAGCATACAGTCGCTGGCCTGCTCTGTGTGTGTGCGTGCGTTTGTACATCTGGATGCAGAGCGCAGAAAGAATGAGCAATGGCGCCACGCTGTGGGCAAAAAAATCTATCTTGCTAAGGCAAGCATCGCTGTTATAGTTTTGATACCAGGCGGTCAGATTTAACTGGTTAGCTTGAGCAGTTAGTCCCTGCTGGTGAATGCTGTTACTACTGCTCAGGTACTCAAACAATATTTGTGCATTTTTCTGACAAAAGGGAAGAATAAAATATAAATAAATACATAAATACATTTTTGCAAGAAAAAAAATGAAGCCTTAATTACACAATAATGGATAATGATAATTTAAACAATTAAAACGGTTAAATAATTTGTTACATAGCAATTGCATATGTTAAAATAAATAAATAGTTTAATAACTATATAATAACTAAATCCGTAATTAAAAATATAAATGCGATGCATAAAACCAAAATTAATATTGATATTTTTTTGAAAGGCATAAAGTGAAAAATATCAGGTTGTCACAACTGTCCTGATATAATTTGGGGGGAGGGGATTATTAAAATAATTAAACGTTAAATTAATTCCTAAAACGAAAACCTTATCAAGCAGTTTGACATAAACCTATTGTTTCTAAAAAAAAAATTAAGTATTTATATAATAAAAATATTATTTATTATTATTAACATTTGAAAAACATGTAAAAAAAAAAATAATAATAACAATGTCCAAAGTCATGTGAAACGACTGACTGACAGAATGAATGAATAATAACGATAATTTTAATTATATAAATTATTAAAAAATAATAATTCATGCCCTCTGACATTTACGTATGTTTTGCAATAAGGATTATTAATACCACTGAGGCAAATCAAGCTCGAAGGGCAATGACGTACAATGGTACAAGACAGTGAAAGAGACATGACACAGAGATATATTTGACACCTTTGTTCACATCAACGTCCTGTTAAGAAGTAAACAGTTTGAAAACCTTCTTTGATAATGACTTAAAAATGATAATGTAAAATAATCTAGACTTTATAGACTTTTTTTAATGGTTTCTAAGTTCAAGGCTGCACAACTGCAAGCAGTTTCCTACAGAAATCCCATTTCTGCGATTTAAAACTAAATTACACTTTTGATATCTACGCTTAATGTTCTCACCCGCCATCATGGACACCAGACTGGCCTTGTAGACGTTTGTGAAGGTTCCCAGCTCTCCCACTGCCAGGATGGTCTTCATATGGGCGTCTCCACAGGCCTCTCTGAACTGTCGGATCTCATCGTAGAGAGCTGAGGAGACAAAAATGAACTCTCAACCAGTTGTTGGCTCAAAAAATATCACACTAGAACTAAGGAAAACCATACTGATGGTTATAGCCAATGTCAGCTGCTCAGTCTGAAAGAAACCAGCGTAAACCAAGAGCAACAGGCTTGTTTAAGAGGGTTTTTTGGTATCTGATTTCCTTTAGTGCTCTGGTTACACACACCTCTCCACTGCCCAGTGAGTGCCAAAGTCCGGTTTATGACAATATCGATCTCTGTAGCACCATCCTCCACGGCCATCTGTACCTCCTCAAGACGGGTCTTCAATGGCGTTTGTCCAGCAGGGAAACCAGTGGCCACTGAAGCAAAGAGAACGAGAAAAAGAGACCATGGGGTGAGACAATGCAGTTGCACCCTCTCTGGGAAGATGTTTGAAGAAGGAATGAAACGTGTTTTAAGATAAGCAGTTTCAAACGTCTTACCAGATGCAACAGGAAGACTAGAGTTGGCTGCTTTAAGAGACTTCACAGCATCAGCCACCCGTGACGGGTACACACAGACTGCTGCAGTCGTGATTCCTGAAATCATGTGCACACACACAGTGTTCAAATCAACGAAAATTCTAATGAATTTAATGTAAAGACACAATTGTAAAAAGAAATACAGCATGAACATATAAAGAAAAATGCTTAAAAGTCCTGTTAATGTCTACTGTTTATTATGTTGCATACTACTGTTTTATTTAGCAAACTGTAGAATTGAAGTTGTTCACTGTCAGTCACTGATCTCTTCAGCCAATCAACTTCTGTGAAAAGAGCTTTGTCTCCCACTTGTGGGCAGATCTACAGTGACAAGCGTATGTTATTGATACTGACAACCATAAATACAATATCAAATATAATATACGTATATTATATAAGATATAACATTAATAAAATTAAATAGTATAACAAATACAAATTGCTCTAGATATATTTACATCCATATTTAACTTTTATTTTTTTAAAGTTATTTTTCAACATTTAATTGAAGCTGAAATCTTTTGTAACGTTACAAATCTCTCAACGATCACTTTTGATCAATTTTTAAAGGGTATTGTTTTATTAATTTAATCTGAAACATCGACTGCCATTAGAACGTTTTGCAACTATAGTGAGTTTCTCAAGACTGATTTTATTTGTAATTAAGCTGACCTATGTAGTTCTAGTAAATCTGCATGGGGATCTAAATATCTGAATTAATTGATCCATTATTATGATCTAAAATGCTTCTAACAGTAATTTGTTTAATAGGTTTAAATGGTTTTAAATTAATGTTCAGTTACGTTTAAGGAAAAAAATAGTTTTTCATTATTGCAAACTGCAATCTTAATAACAGAAGATAACAGAGAGACGTGGAATCAGTTATTCAAGTGTACCAAGAGAGGGATGATGTGATATATGAAACAATCCTCCAGACAGAGGCACCTTTGTCGTGCATGTCCATGCTCTTCAGCAGATCATGACGGATCGGCTGTGTGGCCTTCATACAGAGTCGATGGACATTGGAAGGTGTATCGTCACCAGCGAGTGTTGTCAGATCAATGCACGTGACAGCCTTTAGCAGCCAGGCAGCCTACAATAACAATGCAGGTCAATAAAGATGTATTTGAGCTGACATAAAGCAAAATCAGAAATACAGTAAACTGTTTACCTGCCACTGTTTTTTAGCCACTTTGCCTCCCTGGATCTGCTGAGCTCGTTTAAGAACAGCCTGAGTGTTGACTCTGACTTTCAACACCCATTCAAGATCTAAAATAAAGCAAGAATGAATAATAAGAGGTTTTAAAGTCAGTTTTGTCTTGTTATTTCCCTCTTCTCAATGTGAGTCATGAGACACATAAGTCATGTGAGATTCATTAAGTGCATTTCAGCTGTAAATGGTTTGAAATCCACAGTATATATGGAAGAAAGAACGAAATTCAGAATAAGACTTCAAATTAATTACAAAGACCAGCAGAAGGTTGAATTTGGGAGTTCATAACTGGTCAGATGGAGTTAAAAATGAACTACACAGAACACCAAGAATATACTTTGCACTTTACATGTTCAATGTTAGACGTATAGACAAAATTACACAACTTACACAAATAAAAAAAAATATTTTTATGTTTTCTGCCCCGTTTAATATAATGCTCACACTATCACGTGGAAAAAGCAGCGGTAAGATTCATGTAAAAGCTTTGATTCGTTTGGAGAAAATTATAACACGATATAATTAAATAAAAAAATTAAATAAAAAAACAGCTCACCAAGATCCATTCCTGGATTTCTAGCGGACATGATGAAAAATAAATTACTGAATGAAATGAATTGAAAATAATCGAGTTATTTGGCAAGTAGTATCACCGCACGCGCACAGACAGCTTTAACGATACGACACGTCTTCCGGGATTGCTCGCCACTGATACGTCGCCGCAGAACTCTTTCAGCCAATCATTTCACACCTACGCAAGGCGTAAAGGATGACGGTTTTTTTTTTTTTTTTTACTAGTGAAGACTCCAAAATCACACTAGAGCAGTGGGATTTCTTTTTGAAGAGAGATAATATATGTGTCTACTTATTTTAAATAAACAAGTCAATAAACAAGAGTCAATCTCAGATAAGAGAGTATCTGACATTGACATTCTCTTTCCTGTATGCGAAAATATGCATCATTAAAATAAGTATACTAAAAATATTTAAATCAGTATAACATAAAGTACTTGATGTGCTGTTTTCACACTCAGTGTAAAATATTTCCATGAATTACCCAATGCAGCTTGAAATTAACTTTCAAGACAAAAGATATTAAATACATACAAAATATATGAGAAGAAGTGAAGTTTAAAGGACAAGATGCGAAACATGAAATGAATGTTTCATATACAAAGATCAAGCATGCATTTGAACTTGAATAAACAAACAAACAAAAAATGCTACTGTTCAGTCTGGTTTATTGTTAGACAACTGTCATACTGAGCTTTTGAAATAAGCCTGTCACATGCTTCAGGCTTTAAATAAAAAGTGAAATTATGGCAACAATACAATGACCAATCAAACCTTAATGAGATTTTAAAGTGCACCAGAACAGTTGTTAAGACATCCTAAATTCTTCAGTCTAGAATCGAAACATTGCTCTGGCCCTAATAGATAGAAACTCTGATTTACATTATATAAACACTGAGGGGAGTTTATTTTTTATTTTTATATATATCCTGTAAGACATGAGATAAATATATAAAAGTATTTTAAAAGGACAGTAATAAACAAGGACAAGTTATGACTTCAATTACAAATCCAATCTACATACGATAACATTTTCTTGAATAGGAATGGCACTTCAGATTTCAGAGTTTATCATTCTTTTACACAATTGTTAGTTACATATGATTTAAGAATAATGCTTTTCTAAGGATGTCTGACAGCAAATGGAACTCACACATTTCTTTCACAGAGCCACAATATATAATAGGATATAGCTATTCTTGGCATTCTTTTTCTTATGATTATTATTCTAACAGTTGTTAAGACATCCTAAATTCTTCAGTCTAGAATCGAAACATTGCTCTGGCCCTAATAGATAGAAACTCTGATTTACATTATATAAACACTGAGGGGAGTTTATTTTTCTATATATCCTGTAAGACATGAGATAAATATATAAAAGTATTTTAAAAGGACAGTAATAAACAAGGACAAGTTATGACTTCAATTACAAATCCAATCTACATACGATAACATTTTCTTGAATAGGAATGGCACTTCAGATTTCAGAGTTTATCATTCTTTTACACAATTGTTAGTTACATATGATTTAAGAATAATGCTTTTCTAAGGATGTCTGACAGCAAATGGAACTCACACATTTCTTTCACAGAGCCACAATATATAATAGGATATAGCTATTCTTGGCATTCTTTTTCTTATGATTATTATTATACAATAAAGTACTATTTTAGATAACCGAAGTCATGAGTGAAATTAGCTAATTACTCATAATTAATCATGTAAACGCTAACTCATGCTCATCCAAATCTTCTGGAAACCTTTCTTTCCAGCTTTGGCATGTCTGGTCTTGGCACTGACCACGCTAAGGATGTTCCCTGTGAGAAGATGAATTGTCTGGGAAGAGCTGCCTGCCGGATTTGGGGCTGGGACTGGTAATAGACAGAAGTTTCAGCCTTGAGCTGCCCAGCGGAGACTCTTCTGAAGTGGTTTGCTGGAGGAGGAGATGACAGAATGTTATGCACATTCAGCCAAAAACCTTTAGTATAGGACTTACATTTCCAATAATATCACATGGACATTCTATATTACACATTTAGAAAATAACTGGCAATTAATTTTTAAGATCTGACACATCATCCCGTTAAAATGATTATTTCTGCATATTCAATTGAGTGTTTGATATTACATTGACAACTGTTTGCTCTGTTTATTTCATTGCTTTGCTGCATCTTATTTAATTTATCATTTATTTGTGTAAATACATATTTCTTCATCATTGCACAATTATAATGCCCTTGCACCAATGTGCATGTGGCAAGTAAAGCTTACGGAGATCATCTATCAAACATTTAGTAAATTTTTAGTTACATAATCATTTCCAGATGTTCTAGTGCATCCGTTACCTTTGGTTGTTTAGTTGGTGTGCAGCAGATGTCCACAGGAATGAACCGTTTAGAGCCCCTACTGTATTCATCCGAGGGAGAGCTGACTGCTTCTAACAATGATGCATTTTCAACATGATTGGATAATTCGGATGCATTTTCATTCTGCACTTTGCTTGGCTCAGAGCAACTGTCCATAGGCGACCAAGAGTAGGCTTGACTGAATGCTACATCATCTTGTAAAGAGATATCGGACGTTTGATGGCTTCGTTCATTTTCATCCTCATAGAGGTGGCGTACACATGAAGGTCTGGAGAGCTTCGAGTGGTGGCAACTAGGGGTCTGCGAGGCCACTGGTGTGGACTGTGAAGGGCCGAAACCGTGGTTCACAGGAGTTTTTACTTGATTCTGACTGCAGGCAGACTGAGTCAAAGAGTCTTCAGGACCTTGTTGGGAAACTACGTTCGAGACGAAGCGGCACAATCGTGTGTTACGAGGGATGATCCATCTCTTGATGGCTCCTTCTAGATCATGCTCTCTACCCACCACATACACACGCTTCTGCCCACGTGTTACTGCAGTGTATACGTGCTGCCAGTTTTGAGCACTGCTGTCTCCAAGAACGTACACAATAGTTTCGGCCTCTGAGCCCTTAAGTGAGAAAACAAAAAGCTGCATGAAGCTGAGACAAATGCTGATGTCACGTGTGAATGGGGCCATAAATGAACAAAAAGGATCAGTACCTGAAAGGTGTGAATGGTTCTTGCCCAAGCATGGCGCAGTTTACACACTCTCTGTAGCTCCCTGTAGCTACAAGTCACCACGCATCCATTGTCATCATCTAGTGTCAGGTAGCGTATTATTTTACGTCCTTTTTCCTCATCCTCCTTAGTCACATCCTGTGATTGATGTAGAATAACAATGGCAAGTTAAATGAATCAATCATTACTCATGTGCTTACTCAAAGCCAAGCATTTAGAACTTAAAAACATAAAAATACTTTTTCTATTTCTCATGCAAGAATTTGGGGATTATTAAATGAAAACATATATAAATTGCTAAATAAAACATCAGTACATGTTTAATGAAGAAAATTTCCCCATTGCACAGTCGCTCTTTCTTCTCTTTCGTCTGTACATTTTGAGTCTGATTTCCGGCATTATCATGGGAAGATCGAGCGCTATCTTGTACAGCTCTGGCAGTATCAAAGGAAGTCACTTCTTTCTTCTTATCATGGTCTGTGACGTAGCCATTCTTAGTGCAGCAGACTTTATCATTTGGTTGAAAGTTCAATTTGTTTTTGGAAGTCCTGAAATGAATAAAACTGAATATTAACACCAAAATATTTGCTAAAAATGTAACCTATAAAGCTGTGGAAAATTTAAAATGTTTATATTAACAAAAAAAGAAAGTGTCCTACTTATTTAGTTGTAAGAAATCTAATTTCTTCTATTTACACACCTTGTAATATGTTGAGAATAATGTTTGCAACAAAGCTCATTGATCAACTCGCAGTCCTTCCTGTGAACAATAAGAACAGCAATTTTAGCTTCAAGATCAACATTTGCTAAAAAAGACTGTCATCTCAGCATAGTGTGACAAAGAGTAATCCGTCTTACCTCCTGAAAGCCACAAACTGTGACAATTTATGATCCTCCAGTCCAGGACCTTCCTTAAGTAAGAATGTAATGGCATCCTGGAGGTCTATGCAGCAAAATATGATTAAATAAACTTCAAATACAGACCTTTTTGCCCATTTGGCATTTCAACAATGTATTAGAATGTGTTCTAATTGCAATAAAGTTGCACTGAGGTGCTTGTGGGGAGTGAAATGTATTGAAGATGGCTGTGTAGCTTCTGGATTGATTGATTGATCTCAACCCAAGGTGTCGAATGGGTCACAGATGACAGGAAGTGTATTTTCAGGAACTATCCATTGAAAACCTGCAATATGCTAGACATACAGGAACCAAAATGTGATCCAAGTGTGTTTCTTTTGTTATTCTGATTGTATGGGCCATCAGGTTCACACCTTTACTGCATGAGCAATTGATGTGCTTCTGAGGCACAGTCACAGTGTAAATACCACACATCATCCTACAGTTCCAGCTAATAATAACAAAGTGTAATAAAAAGAATAAATGCACTAAAAAAAACATCCAAAATGTTCACATATTTCATAACTGCTCACTTACCAAATCTATCATTTTCACCACAGATTTTGACAAAAATGAACCTTTTGTCAGATGGCACTTTGGAGGGTCTCATCATGTTTACAGTGGCATCAAACTCCAGAGGACTGTAATATGTTTTTTTACCCATCTCTGAGATGCTGAAAGTTTATGGAAATAACAACAGTATAATTAATAAATGTTTGAGTCCATATTAGATAAACACACATACACACACACAACAGTCTGCAAACCACAAAGGAACTAAAATGAGGAAGTTTGTATAAATTTATATAACCCCATAAAACATTTAAGAATACAAACTATCTGCTCACAGTCCAGCGTTTCTGACGATGAGCTCAGACTCGGCACGATGGTTGGTCCGCATCTCAATAGCCCACCGGACCTTCCGGAGACCTTCAAACAGATCGTACAGTGTGTTTCCAGGCTCAATGCTGGGCAACTGTCTCACATCTCCTGCAGACACAAATAAATGTTTTTGTTGGTTTAATAGTAATACAGGAAGTTACTTAAGCTGTAGAATAATGTTGCCAATAAAATACATTTCAAAAAAGCCCTAAATAAGAAAATATTATGCATGCAATATGCCTTTACCCAAAAGGATGAACT